TTGATACAAACTGGGATAAACTTCAACAATTTCGAGTTGCTGTTTTTCATTTCTACATGAATGCGCATGCAATCCGACATGACGTTATCAGTAACAGGGGCACAACCGGAAACGATAATGCATCCGTAAATGTATGAATTGGTAAAATTGTCGGACAAAAATCGAACCTGGCTGTGATACCTCCGCACAAATCCAACCATGTCTTGCTCTGCATTTATACTTATATTTCCTATTCGTCAAAAATATGTTGTTTTTAAACAAGATATTTAAAACATATTTAAACAATAAAAATCCTTCACGTTATGTTTCGAAAGTTTGTCTGTGTTATACCACGGGGGTTTTCAATATTTTCAAAGAAAAATTTGGGTTAACAGAAAACTATGAAAATGTTATTTATCTTATAATTCGACGTGGCTGTATTTCCTCTGTCTTCTTCTCGAACAAAAGTTGCAAATTCCGTCAGTTCAGACGTTTCTGCTTTGAGTCACTGTAAAGAGCATTATTTGCCAGCTGAAATGCTGTAGCAGAGTGTTCCTTGCAGCCTTCATCACAATCACTTGGTATGTTAATTGCGATATTGACTTGATGGTGGCTTTCCTGTCGCTGCTCGTGAATTTTAACCTTTTGATAATGCATTCAAAACGTAGGGATGCCGCTGTTTTGAAACCCTAGATTCAATCCGCCAAAGCTTTCCGATTTGCTTTTTTGACTGCTTTTTTTCCGTCTTCACGTCTTGTGCAATTGTCACAACCAAATTTTTTTTCTCTGTACGAGTTTGTTCTGGATTATAAATAACTTGCTTCGTTTCCGGATCAAACATCGCAGGCACAAGCTCACAAGATGCCACTGGAACCCTTCCTTGTCCAAACATGTATAGGAGAACGACGATTTTGAACCACCAAGACTCGGAGAGCGAAAGAGAAACCATTGCTGGCAACAGAGTAATGACACTTCTTGGAATATGCATTAGATCTGTTGCGTGACCGTGATAAACCGGAAACGGCTCGTAACGGGAATTTTCCTAGAACTGAGAAAAACATGAGTTATCCGGGTTCGTGTGTGCTATGCATCAAAGTTAGAGGAGGAAAAAGCCTGTTATTCGCGCTCGAGCCCTTTATGATAACCTGCTCTGTCAGAACATGATCTTACAGGAATAACCTCCCAAGATTCCAACGAAATCCTCCCTTGTCTTATAAACACACAAACTAAGAATAATTTCAAATCGTAAAGTTAAAGAAGGCATTGTCAAGAAAGTGCTGTCAGAGCTCTTCATTGGGTAAACCAGAAGCTGGGTCAGACGCTCGTCACGGGAGTTTTCCCAGAAGCTGATCTTATATTTCGAGTCGCACTTTGATGAAAAAAACTTGCATGATGCCAGTGAGATTCTTCCTTGTCTAGACATTTACAGATTGAGAATGATTTTAAACCAACAAAACTCAGCAAGGGAAAGAAATTTGTAATATCTGTTGCGTGATACAATAACCCGGAAAGCTGAGTCATTTTCACCCGATGGGAATTTTCCCTGAAGTAAGAGCAGCCTGAAGTAAGAGTATAAAGGTTCAATGAATAATTGTGGAAAACACTTTCTTCGAACAAAAACCTTTTCCCTAATCTACTGGGTCACATTTACTACAAGATGAGGACATCTACTTGGGTTCTATTTACCATCGTCTGTTTTGTTTTGCTCGTTTCTGCACCAAACTGGAGTTCCGGTTTCCTTCGCAGAGCCCTAAAGAAGGTAGAAAAAGCTGTGAGAAAAGTCGTCTTCAAGCCAGTGAAAAAAGTTTTCAAGGAGGTGATAGAAAAACCAGTTAAGTCTGTGCTGAGAGCTGTAGGACTGAAAAAGGTTCGCAAGACATATAGAGAGTTCCAAAAAGAGGTGGTTCATTCTCGGGTGACTTTCACTGAAGATTCCTACCGAGCTGAGAAAATCAACCCTTGCCCTGACGGACAACATGATATTCTGAAAACAGAGCAGCCAGTCGAGATTCGCTTTGAGGACAATGTGATGGTGTTACAGGACAGCTATTGCCGAAAATGTGGACAGCATTTCTTCAACACAAAACATAAGGATGAATTGTAAACGCAAAGCTGAGCTTCAAACTAGCGGGACATTCGCACAAATCTAGAATGAAATGTTTATTATTTCTTTATTTCCTTAGAGCTTGATATTGTTCACTGGATGTCATTTATAAATAAATAGAAACCTCTGTTGGTTAAAAATACATTTATTATCATCTATATTTTGTTGACATATCCAAATTATTTCGTTACTCCCACCGACGCAGCCCCAAACAGTTTCTTTCGAAACTATCAGCCTTTATTCATTTATATTTTCTAACAACTCGTACTTGCGATTAACCATAATTTGTATGAATTCTAGTACGTTAACTTTCTCGTAATCATTAGTGACCTCGGTTCGTTCTGATGTCATGGAATTTTTTAACATACTGAATACAGAAGCCTTTGCGTCCAGAATTCTGTCTTTTTTTCTTTGCAAAACTTCAAGAACATCGTCTTGTGTATTGGTCGATTGACCATTTAATTTATGAAGATTGTGTTACTCCACGCTAGCTTGCAAATTGTCCCCCATTGTTTTTGTACAAGCCATTCGAGGCGCACAGTCTAGCTGTATCGTTTTTACTTCTATCGCAGCTTTTTGAAATGAGAATTGTGCATACTACTTATCAATGGTCTGGGGTACTTCCATTGTCCG